CAGACCTAACACGCTCTGGGGTCCCACAGCCATACTCCTGCGACTAGGATAGGCTGTTCCTGACTTGCCCACTGCCCTTCTTTCTCCACTGAGAGGCCAGCACTCAGAGATAATGCAGGAGCCGCTCTCTGGCCATTCCCTGGCCCTGGCACCGCTACGGCCCCTCCCTCACCTTCGTGAGAAGGCAGGAGGCTTTCTGTTCAGTCGTCACCGCAAACAGCTATCACGTGCCCATTCCACCCCGTCTACTTCCACGCTGTACTTTATCCCATATACACTGTCTGGAAGCAATAAAAGGTACATGGAAGAACTGAAAGCAGTCTGTGTGGATTTAAAAATCACATACATATGTAACCACAACAAAGATAGCTTTAAAATGTAAAGAGTTATTTTTTAAGCAGACACATGTACTTGTATGCGGATGTACTTTTTCCCCTGGAAACAAATTGTTTGCTAGTCTGTATTAGTTCGTGAGCAGTTTCTTCTAGGAGGCCCTGGCTCAAGGATCACATTCAAAACGGCACAAAAACCTGGGCTGGGTGGCTCTGGTACTGTGATTGGTGTTTTCCAGTTGGTTTCGGTTGTTTGACTGCAATGGAAGTTGTCTAGCCCCGAAAGCAGCTACTCCACACAGGTACAATCACAGACCACTTGCAGTGATCAGCTGGGGCTGAGTTAAGGGACCTAAGCCTGATGAATCTCAACGTGAAATCTCTTTAGCCCTCTGCAGCTCAACACGGCCAACTGGTTTCCCGAGGAACTCCATTCAGAGAGCGCCCCCGGGAACAACCCTTTTATGTTCAGAGTAGACGTTAACAGCCGAGTAATTAAACACTGAAAGTAAAGGCTTATAATTAAAATGCTGACAAACCTGAACCAGAGTGGCACAAGTCGGGCCGCTATAATCTTTTTACAATTCCTTTTTATACATAATGTATGATCCTTCTGCTCAAGTTTCCTCTATGTTCCTTGCCTGTGAAATAATTTACATTAATAAATAATTTATTACCATAACTCCTGAAGTAATTATGGGTTTTCATCCTTTTTTTTTTTTTAAGCATATGAATCGTTTTGTTCTCTGTCCACTGACTTGTATTTACAAGATTTTTCCTAGTGGCCTTCTGGGAATAATTGATGTTGCCTTCGCTGTCTCACATTTTATGTGATTTCTAATTTCCCGGCCGTGGTGAGAAAGATGGAATGTGTGGTATCTACTCTCCTGATGAAAGAAGGCTCATTTAGCGGCTGTGATTAGTCAAAGGTAATGAATGGGGCCTGTACTCACCCCATTTGCCCTTTTTCATAGAAAAAGAGAAAGAGAGAAAGAAAGAAAGGAAAGGTAAGGAAAGGAAAGGGAAAAAAAGGAAAGGAAAAGGAGCTGGCACCCCAAGCAAGTACAAAGTAGCATCTCCTAGGGGTCCCAGGCTCAGACTAAGCTTTCCCATGCAGACCCCGCTTCACTGAACACAGGACACCTCTGCCACACTTCCTGAACCCACCAGAAGTTAGGTGTAAGGAACGGCGCTGCTGCCAGCCCAGATGGCAGACTGGGAGCTGCCACTCAACTCATGTCATGAGGAGATGCCTCTCCCTGAGAGAGCTGCCTGCATGGGAAATTCTGCCTCAGCGCAAAGGTGGGTGGGGAAGATCTGAGGTGAGAAAAGAACGTACGTGGTGTCTGCTAGAAGGAGCTGGCCTGGCACCCTAAGAAGAGCCTTCAGCGGGTACAAAGCAGGTGGGCAGGGCTGGGTTCTACTTTGTCCTGTGTCTCCAGTCCACACCTAACCCAGATTTGGTCTCTCCCTCACTTTAGAAAAGTGTAAAAATACTTGGCATCAAGTTCCCAAATTGAGGTGGGGCACGAGGGTAGTGAGGGGTCTGGCATCCAGTCCACAATCACAAGAATGAGGTACTTGAAAAACTAAAACAACCCATGCATTGTTAAGAGCACTTGGTTCTAGATGCTGAATCGTAAGAGGGCATGGAGGCAGCTCAGCCATCCAGAAGGGTGGCATTCTGTGAAGGAGCAGCAACCCAGTGCTGTTCTCAGAGCCCTGGTGATCTTGCTGGCTCTACTTCAGAGCACCGAGGAGGCTCCTCTCCCCCACCACACACACTGGATCCCAGTTAGGACCCTGGAGTGGGGTTAGAAGGGAAAACCCTGAGGCACAGACCTTTGTCTTCAGGAGCCTGGGCTGGAGTGGTGATTATGATAATTGACATTTTATCTTTGCTCAGCTTTGTCCAGCCCCAGAAGGGCCAAAAACCCTCTTGAAAAGTCTGGCCAGTCCCTCAGGGTGTTCTCTTCCCCGCTATTGAAAAGCCGGGCACACCCAAGATGAAATCTCCCTGCCTGGGGTACACTCCCTGTGTGCTACAGTGACCCAACAAGGCAAGGCCACAAACTTCTCCATTCATGGAGTCAGTGGGCTGGAAAGCTGGTGGGAGCTGGGTGCTCCAACTCAAAGGAAAATAGGGAGGCCTCTGACTGCTGAGACCCCTGGCTCGGCAGCTGTTGGAACGGGACAGAGGTGCTAGCACCTCCTACCCACAGTAGCTGTGCTTTGTAGGAAGAAGAGATCAAGAAGTGGGAAAACGGAGTCTACCGCTCAGTGTCTCTACTGGTCTCCCCAATCTTGTCACATGGGAGTTACCGTCTGTGGTTCTTGCTCTTCCATTAGACACAAAGTTCCTTGTGGGTTAAGATAGGGTCCCTGTCATTTGGCCCAGCATTAAGCTCCTAGAACATGCTGAATTCTCAATGAAAATCATGAGACTAAGCCCCTGAAACCACTTGTGATGAGCGAAAGCCCTGGTAACACATGTTGTTGCATGGGGCACGGTTCTCCTGAGTCTAGGAAGGTTGCTCAGCAGGCAGATAAAGGGCATAGAGCTGGAGAAGCAGGGTGCACAGGATGTTGCTGTTCCAGCATCTAAGAAGCCACCCCCTGCGCCTCCTCTAGCTCAGTGGCAGGACTTCAGCACTGTTCTGCAGAAGTGAGAGCCAGTGGGGAGCCCGTGAGCCTGGGACAGGACTTCCAGAAGAGTCAACCTGTAAACACAATCTGGCACTTCCTCCGAGCCATGTGCTACCCTGGATAGAGAGCAGGCAGGCTGTGTGCCTGCCTCACAGGTTCGGGCAGCCAGACGGTCCTGGACAACCTCCCCAGGCCTTACTCTGGCCCCATGGGCAACTCTGTTACTTATAGCCACCCCCAAAGGAAGCCACTGTGGTCTCTCTTTTGAGGAACAGTCTCTTGGGCTGAGGTCTCAGTCCTCTTTGCAGCTATTTCTGTGGTGCGCTCTCCTGTGCCATTCCTTGCCATGAACGTCCGCACGGCTCTCACACAAGCCCACAACTGCTATGCTATGCTGCAGATGAGGAAACCGAGGCTGAGAAGTTGAAAAGTTCAGCTCTAATGAGGCCAGTCATAGACCAGACCCATCAGTCAGTGTCACAATACAGAGCCACTGTTAGGCCAGGAAAGCCTAACAGAACAGCCTTGCAATGGAGGCCCGCCATCCCTGGGACCCAGGTTCCTGGGCTGACTCTGTGGGAGCTCGGTCTGGGCTGAAGGTTGGCCACACTTGACAGCCGCCCCATGGCAAAGCAAGGTAGCTCAGCTGTGAATCTGTTCCAGGATACAGGAAGTACCGCAGGCTTCTGTGCCTTGGAATGGTATTGGTAGTGGTGGAAGAGGAAAGGCATTAACCACCAAAGAAGTACACGGTCATGTGAGGACAGGCCACAGACATGTGTCAGCCAAGTGACTTCTGCTTCCATGTCCTCTAGGTAGCGGTATCAAAAAAGACACCCAGCTTTTCCTGCACTATAGTATGTGCTGAAGAGAAAATAATTGTCCTTCTCTGCCACCTAGTCTAATTCTAACTCCTAAGAGATCTTTCAGAGAGTCACTAGGCCTCAGTTCCCCCTAGTATAAATAAGCACCTGCCTGGCTCTGAATTTACAATGTGTGTAGCAGTGTTCAACATGACAGAACCAGGTCCCTGTGCACTCACAGTCTTACCTATGGGAAGTACCTTGAAATTAGAAAAATAAACCACTGGGCACAGAGAAAGGAGGGTGATCACAACCTCATATTTACATACCCTGCAAGGTACTGAGTCTGAAATCCCACTATGGCTATTCCATCAGTGAGGCCTGGTCTCCGATTCAACACAGGCAGCACAGAATCCATCTACAGAGCACCAAAAAATGCATATAACCAATACAACCATCCTTTCTTCTCTTTACGAGAAACAGCATCACGTGTGCATAGAAACACGAGACCAAGCAGCTTATTGGACAGGATATTTGCCATATAAACAAGAGTCTTACAAAGGTTCCTGACCTCTGTTCTCTCTAGTTCCCTTCTGGGACTATCCTAAGAAATACAACAAAAAACAAAAACTTAGACCGAGGGAACCCTGGGCATTAGAATTGAAAATTCAACAGTCCTTTTACCCCATGACTGCAAGAATCGCAAATCCCAGGACATTTTAATGTATCCACACCGTGCAGCACTATACAGCATTAAGAAGCAGGGCCTGAGTCATCTGCATGCTGTAGGAATTACTGAGTGCAAAAACAAACACAGTTTATATAATTATATGTTTATGATGAACTTGGCTATGTGAAATATGCAAAACATATGCATGCATACACACACACACACACACACACACACAAAATATCACTGAGAACCAAAATTTAGTGGCTTTTTACTTCCTGTCCTATGGTATATTTTCTGAAGAGAAAGAAAAGTATCGTCATGATTTACTTAATAATCAGCCAGAACTCAATGCTGGAGGTGGAAATGGTGCCAATAAACCACACACCAGTGCCCCTCACTCTCACACCCAGTACCCTGTTGGTCCACTCCAGCCCTGCTGGGGACTGAAACAATTAAAACGCAGAAGAGAGTCTCTCCAGGACTCCTCTGGAGTCTCCCCTGGCTGGAAGAACTAGAAGGGGATGTCCAGGCTGTGTAGCTACTCACCCATAATTCCACAGGAGAGAAGGGTAGGTCCTTGACTCATCTTCTTTGGCGTGTGCTGAAAACAACCAGAAAAGCTATTCAGACTTCGCGTCATCAGAAGCACGTTCGCACACGACTCTGAGCTGAGCTCATGACACTGAGCTAAAGTCACAGTTACAGGAGGATCTGCCTTTTGCCAGTACTGGGTTGAGGAAAGGGGAAGAAAGTAGCCCAAGAGACAACATCAGCACAGGACTGAGCCTGACCTTTGCCCCAAGGCCCAGAGTTACAGACGGAGCGGGCTAACGGGCCTTTGAGTCATTCAAGACGCCTGTGACTCCTGACAAGAGGGTTCTCTCCACAGAGGGATATGGGGAGGTTTGATAGAACCAAACTCTACTAGGGGCTAGAAAGAAATTTGGACAGGTGGGCCTCCTAGGAGTGAGGAGCAATGGACCCTCACTACTCTCTGATGGCTCCCCAGGGGATTCAGAGCCAGCATCCTCCACAACCCAGAAGGGAATGCTGGCTGATGCTCCACAGCTGTGACGGCTACAGCAAAGCTGCCGATCATTCTCTGAAGCACAAGACACTCCCTGGATCTATCAGGTCTCAACCTGAGAGTTACGGTTTTCAACTCCTGGGCACTGTACACCACTGGGCTTCCCCCTCCACTGTGAGCATTTCCTGTCTTCCCTCACAATCCGCACCTACCTCAGCTGAGCAGCAGATGGCAAAGAAGCTGAGCCTGCACGGCAAGCCGAGCACAGAACAGTCTGGGGCTCGTGTGCTAGCTGGCATCCAAGTCAAGTGGCCTACTCAGAAGGCAAGTGAGGATCAGACATCCCAGACAGGACCCCAAGATGAAGGTCTGCCTCATGCACCCCAGAGACCGGCTACCTCATTCCCTCACGACCAGTTACAGTATACCCAGTAGACAGGAACTGACAGTTACCTGCATTCAGGCTGCATTCATGCAATGGGAAATGAAGTTCTAGCTTCTGAGAGGAGCTCCAGTACCCTACCACATGACAGAAAAAGGCAGGGTTTCTAGGGTGAGAAGTGGGTGGGAGCCTGGGTTCTGGTTCATAAAGTCCCAGGAGGAGGGTGGGGCTGACTAGCAACACCTGGTCCACCCAGATAAGGTGGCAGGCGCCTGGCACCCCATCCCTAGTGCCCAATTTGGGGACCTTTGCTCTCGGTTAACAGTTTAAAGGGCAGGACGGTCCTTCCCAAACTGAGGACACAGAAGAGAAGAAGGGCTCAGACCTCAAAGAGGACACAGTCACACAGCCAACTCTTTTCATTACAGAGAGATGGGGCTTGGGGGTGGGGTGCAGAGCATGTATGAGGTGGGCAGAGAACAGAGCCAGTTTCCAGAGGAACACCTGAGCAGGTGCTGATAGACAGGAAGGTTACTGACAACAGACAGCCCTTTTCCAGGCCTCTTCTTGGCTTAAAACCGTCCTTAACATAACCAGGCCAGGTCACCCTCTGGTATATAACTATCTTATAGCCATCTACTGAAATATCTAGAAATAGTTCAAAAGAGCTGTACCTGCCTCTGTCTCAGCTGAAAGCCGCACCAAAGTCACCCAATAGAGATCAGGTAACAATACAGGAGAGCCTGCCTTAGGGGAAGAACCACCCACATAACCAAGGGCAGAAGCCTACAGCAGCTAGGCAGGCCCCTTACTCTCCAAAGAAGGGTTCTGAGAAAGAATGGGGGTCGCCTCCTGTCAGGGTTCCTTGCCTGCCGAGGGAAACAAGGTCTCAGTGTTCACGGGGTACCCAGGCTCAAGGACAACAACCGCTCAGGTAGGTCCTAGTCTGTTCTACCCAGGGCACCCAGGCCCAGTGTCAACCAGATGGGCTACGAGCCCAGTGACACCAGACCAAGACAAGACCACAGGAAGCTGAGAGAACAGGACGACTGGCACAGTGAGTGTGCGCACTAGTGACCACAGGTGACACAAGGGAGAGCTTGGAGCTTCACGTGAAGAAGCAGGAAGCAGAGGACAGCCACCGGTACTTGTCAGGATGGGAGAGCTTGAGTTCTGCTCTGAGCTGGGAGTGCAGGGCCAAGGGAGGCCTAAGTTGGCCCTGAGCACCTACTTCTAAACCCTTGTCTTATCCCTGGCCCTGATCATTCTGGGCCTGGGCCGCACACACTTCTACAGCCTGTGAATGTTCCACCTTTATTCCAGTAGTAATCATTTTGTTTGAGCTGACTGGAGATAGCTCCTGTCAAATAAAGAACCCGGAGCTAGAGACCGCTCAACAGTTGAGAGCACTGGCTGCTTTTCCAGAGGACCAGGGTTCAATTCTAGCACTGACTTGGCTTACAATCATCTGTAACTCTAATCCCAAGGAAGCTCACACTCACTTCTGGCCTCCACGGGCACTAGGTGTGTATATGCTCTAACACATACATGCTGGCAAAACATCCACACACATAAAACTTTAAAAAAAGAAAAAAAAAGGAAGGAAGGAAGGAAGGAAGGAAGGAAGGAAGGAAGGAAGGAAGGAAAGAAAGAAAGAAAGAAAGAAAGAAAGAAAGAAAGAAAGAAAGAAAGAGAGAAAGAAGAGGGACCTTGATTGGTTTTGTACTGGATCTCAAGCTAGGACAAGGGCCCTGTCTTGCTTTCTGAGCCTGACTTCTGAAGTAGAACCTCCTAAGCACCAGAGCATCTCATCCTAAGCCTCCCAGGGTCAAAGGACCAAGCATACCCTGGCCCCTGGCAGGTTTGCCTGGGGACTTCACATGGGCAAAACAGCACCTAGGAGTTTCTGGCTCCAAGCTGACACAAGCCCTCCTATTTCCAGTCTACCAAGAACACAATAAAACTCCTACTGGCAGATGCCATTCCTGCAGCCAGGCTTCCAACTCTTCAGATTCCCAGAGCAGGAAGAAGGGATAAGCGAATCACTATGCCAAGTCAAGGTCCAGCAGCCCCAAAGGGACTCTGCTGTGAGGACCCCAAGACTTCCGGAATCTACAAAAGAGTGAGCTCAACTGCAGGCTGAGGTCTGCAGGGAAGGAAGCCGAGAGCATGTTTCCTCTTTGCACGCCTCCCTCTTTGTGCCTGAACCCACCAGGGCTCAGTCTCAGTGACACAATTCACGTCACAAGAGAAGTCTTTGGAATCAGGTCCTGGAAGGAAAGACAAAAGCTGGAAATCAAATCGAGGCTTCAGGGACATCTGTCTGACTAAAGGTGGCCCTGACTTCAATAAAGACCCAATTAAGGCTCTAAAGGAGAAGCTAGCAAACACGGAAAATACCAGGCCGTACCCATAGCTTTCACAACTTTCTTCAAAGGTTACTGCCTAAAACAACTTAGCCACTTTTTCCTCTTGCTGACACAGTATGCAGGGAGCCACAGTGTGAAGGGGAGATGCTCATACCACATACTAAGAGCAGGCACAGTATCGTGCCTGCTTCTCAAACAGAACTCAGTAAGGCCAAGACAGCAGGAAGCAGAGAGGAATTCGGGAAGACGAAGAGAAGCTGAGAAGGGAAAGGTGTGAAGGAGGGAGTCCTGACTTCAAGGCTGAGATGGGCACAGGGGCCATCTATGTCTACCCAGGGTGAAACACATCAGACTTCAGCTAGTCTATGGCCAGCCAGAGACTCTGGTTGGAGCCGTTGAGGCCAAAGTGCCAGGTTGGTTTGACAATGAATATGAGAATTCCCTGTGCCTAGAGAGCTGGACACAAGGCCTAACGTGGCTACTAACATCAGAGTGGGCAAATGCCTTAGCGCTGGCACTTGAATGTGGCAGGGTGGAAGGCAGTGTCTCTTCTACTATTGGCTGCACGGTTTGGGGACAGGCAAGGAGTCTATAGCTATGACTGTTCTCTGTTCAGAGCAGCCATTTGCCTGTCTCCTTTGGGCTCCAGGATTTCGAGTAGGCTGGAGAGAAAGTTGGCCCGGCCAAAGGAGATGGTTACTTTGGAAACAAGAACAGGCTCTTGGCCTGCATGTAGGCAAATGGGCAGGAGTTGGGGGGAATTCAGTGCTCCAGGGTCAAACATCTGGGCTGCCTTCCAGTGACAGTGGCTAATGTTAGAACATGAGAAGGAAAAGCCCTCTGAGCAGAGGAAAGTAACCAGGTAGACTAAAGAAAGAGGACCGGGAGTGGTCATGGCTACCTATGCATGGCTGCCTGACCAAGGCAAGCCAGGGCTGTGAACATATCCAGTATCCAGACCTATCACTCCCAGAGAAGTGGGTTCCTGAGCCCGGAAGGAATGCGCTAATCACTCATCAGTTTTTGTTCCTTTTCCTGAACCTTCCTTGAGAGTAAAGATGGTCACCTTTGTCACCAGAATTAGGGTTTTGCTGTTTTGCTTTGAGACAGGTTCTCAGGTCATTAGGCTGGCCTCTAACTAGCTATGTGGCAAAAGCTGGCTTTGAACGTCCGATCCTCCTGCTTCCACCTCCCAGGTACTGCAATCACAGCTATGTGCCACCAGCTGTTTAAAAGGGAATGAGAAGGTGGAAGGGCAGGGACCACAGCTCTTCTTGTTTCTCACCGGGACTCAGGACAGTGGCTTGAGGAGCCCCAGGGTCCCAGAGTCTAAGGAACCTTCTTCCAGTCTCCCTAGAATCTTAACCTCCACTTTAGTTATCTTCTTGGTCTAATTAGAAAACACAAGAGAAACCGTTTGCCACCTTTTCTGTGTCAGCTGGTGGCACCTGGTGTGAGGATGATGCTATCCGTGCCGCCTGTGGAGCAAACCCCAGCAACTTCCTCTGCTGCTCACACAGGGGACGGGCTGACCTCAGACTCTGTCACGGGGAGGACATCGCTAGACTGACACTATTTGGGTCTTCAGGCACTTACAGAACGTTTCTCCCCATGTGGCCACGACCTTCAGAAGAGTGGTCAGTGCAGAAAGATCCTGGCCAGAGACCATGCATTCCCACACTGAATTCTCTGAGCCGCAGTTCCCATCTGTCTATGGGACAGAGATGAATACACCTTTGTCCTTGGCTGAGCACCTTCCATGGTACTCTCCACACCTTCTGCGGCCAGCACTTGGGTTGAACCAGGCCTAGAATGTAAGCGATGGTCAATATGAAAGATGTCAACAAACTCACAGACAAGAAAAGCTATCTCCAAGAGGCCATCCCTCACCACTGACCTGACCTCTGGATCAGAGGGGAAGAGACAGATGGTTCTGGGCCTAGATAGGCCAATAGCAAGGAACAGAAACAAGAAGGGTGCTCTCTAGAAGGGGAGCAGAGGTTGGAAGACAAAGCCTGAGCCTTGGAGTAAGAGTACAAGCAATGAGCCCTGAGGAAGGGATGAGTATGCCCCACCCTTCTGTTCTAGGAAGACAAGGCTCCTCCTCTAGGGAAGGTGTAAAACCCTGTTCCTCAGCTGGGACTCAGGAAGGGCTGCTTCCATGACCTTGGGCCCTGGTTCTTGGCTAGCCCCAACCAGTCCTACCTTGACACTAGACAAGCACAGAGACAGATGGAGGACCAATAATACAGCTGAACCCTAGAAAGCACAACCCTGGGGATCTCTGGGTAGCCTCTCAGTCCAAAGCACCGTCTGCAGATATTTCCCCAAAGACGGTTAATGCTAACAAAAAAGATAAGACAAGCATGACGTATATCTTGGCTACAGATTAAACAGAAGGACCAAAATGACAAGGTCAGAAGCTGCGGCCATGGGAGCCTGTGCATTCACTCAAACTGAACACCTATTATGCAACAGGCCCTGGTGGCATGAAATGCCTGGCTTTCATTAAGTATCGTGCCCTAGCACAAGGTGTCAGTCACTCAGTCCATACCTGCTAAGAAGCGGTAAGAGCCAAGCAGGGACATCATGAGGAGAAAGAAGACAGAAAGTAGAGGGCAGGCAGGATTGAATTTTAGGCTGAGCGGCCACAGAAAGGAGAGAGTTGTCGTCTGAAGGGAAGAGTTCTACACTATGGAAGAAGTCCAAAGGTCCTGAGGTAGGCTCACAGTTGGCATCTCTGGGCCGGGAAAGAGGGACAGTACTCGTGAGGCATGAAGCCAGGGGATGGTTCTGAGCAGATGAACAGACTAGACTGGTACTCCATGTGGCTGCTGAACAGAGAAGAGATTTTAAGAGCTATAAGCAGAGGCTCAGTTACCACAAGAATCTATGTGAGAGAGGCCAGCAGATAGGATGAGGGTAGCTGACAGTGGGGATGGGGGATAACTGTGAGAAGTGATCAAACTGAAGATACACATTATAGGAAGATTGGAAGTGGGGTGTGATGGCTGAAGTAGCTCCATTCCTCCTAGAAAGACCCAGGTATCCATCAGCCAGGAACCTTAGCTGCTTCTCCTTGCCCTGTGTCTACAGTGCTGGGGCACAGGGAAGAGCCTCAGAGATAGGTGCCCCTATACCAGGCTGAGGGAGGAAACCTAAACACAGGGCAAGAAGTGGGGCTGAGGATGGACACAAGGTGAGTAAGTGGGCATGCCCCCAAGGCAGTACTGTCCCGCGGCAGCTCGTAGCTCTCAACTACGCATGTGGAAAGTAAGATTGAGCCCACTTCTTCTCAGCCTTCAAGGCCACACCTAACACCCCAGTTCTGGGAGGCTCACCCTGATGTGCTTATAGCCCAGCTAGCCTCCTCAGCATACCTGAATCTCAACAGGCTGCCAGCTATGAGTTGGCATTAATGGTTCTTGATGGTCACTGCATTCTGTCTGACAGAGCCTCCCTCTACACTGGGAACTACTCTAGACAACAGGGCAAGGCTCAGCTCTAAATCATGCTGGTTCTTCCACTCTGTTGGCCGATTCCCATCCATAGGACAGGCACTTGTGAAGGTCTGTGGATCACATGCAGGTCCCAAGCATTTCCCAATTTACCAAGGTGAGGAGCTTCAGTCCACACAATAGTCACAATGTGGTATTTGCCAACATGAGACAAGGAAAAGAAAGCCCACCAAAAGGCTGAATGTGAAGCCCACCATCGTTTGGTATAGAGCAAAGAACTGGGTGATTCCAGGAAGGTGGGTGATAAGACAGAAGCCTACCACCATTGAGCCAGAGGGCAGCTCCAGGGGCCATCACCACAGCCTACCGCCTTGCTGCCAAGCTGTTCTTTCTTTTCTTCCTTCCTTCCTTCCTTCCTTCCTTCCTTCCTTCCTTCCTTCCTCCCTCCCTCCCTCCCTCCCTCCCTCCCTTCCTTCCTTTCTTTCTCCCTCATCTACCATTCTCTCACCTGCACTGCCCTTTGGGAGACAAACTTATAATGGCCTCTGGCACCCCTCAGCCTGGAAGCCAGGCAGGGAGGAAAGAAATGCTGGGCTCAGCTGATGCCCTGGCATGATCCTTCTCCCCTCATTGAAGCAGCTCTAAGCTAGGCCCAGCGGCTTTCTCCCTCTGAGTATGTAGCCACACAGTTTATTTGCCACATAGCCCCAGCCTAGAACCTCTTGCAGAGTTCAACTTACTTAAGTTGCTAAACCTGGGTGCCACATCGATAGTCACACCACAAACCCTCCCTGCCTGCACACCAGGCCACAAAGAAGGAGAAAAAAACACAGCCCCTGAGGGCCCTCACCAGTTCGGGGATGAAGGTCCTGTGTGCTATGGAGTCAGCTCCCTGGATGATGAGGCTTCTCCTTAGGATCATCACCATGGTAAGGACCTCAGGCACTGGGCTGCATCCCAGGGTGGGCACAGGCCATCTTCAGGTGGGCAGATTAGTAGTGATACCTGGGCATCCCAGGGAGTGATGTCATCAGCAACAGCTCCCCATCAGTTGCTCAGTCTGGGGACAAGGGCCTCTGGGAATGGCCAAAAGAAGTCAACAACCTGGGAAGACAAAAGACAGGCAAAGGGGTTCAAGACTAGAAAAGCCTGGAATACCAATAGTGTAGCTCAATCCCGATAGTGCAAGGGACCCAGTGGGGAAGGATCTATATTTTTACTGCACTCTGGGAGGTTACCAAGGCCCAGAATTGCTTTCTTAGATCACATATACAAACCCCAGCTAGCCTCAGGATAGCCAAAAGCCAATGCTCTTCTAGACAGAGCAACAAATTTGGATCCAGCCGTAAGACATCTTCAAGACCACAGGTTCTGAGGTGCTAGCAATATGTGGTTCCTGATGATGCGGCAGGAACTGACTGGGTTGTTTGCAGGCACACTGAGCTCAGACTAGGACAAGCTTAGATTGGCTAAGGATCATACTCCTCATCCTCACATCCAATATCAAGGAGGACAGGGGATCCAGAGCTGGGTGCTGGCTCACCTCAGCTACCTAGTCATGAACAAACACTACTGACAAACCAGGAGGGCCTATTTAAAGACACACACCCCACCCTTAGCTGTGCCTCATTTCTACAGAATCACAACACCAGAGGACTTTGTAGCTTTGTCCCTTTCCCCAGAGCGAACTAAACCAAGTGACCTATGAGCCAGTGCCTGGACCGCCTTGGTACTACCATTCTCCAAAGATAGTCATGTCGCCTCTCTGTCCACCAGGTTCCACCGAGCAAAGGCAGAAACTGGACAGACTTCGGTGTAGGTACGAAAAGCAGCTCCTTACAAGGTGATTTCTCTTATCCTCGTTCCCCATCCCAACTCACTAGTTAGCCCTTCAAAGAAAATTACACGAACATGAATGAGGATCTGAAGGTCACCACCAAAATCTAAAAAATAATGGTAATAATAGCAATAAATAAATAGAAAGGCAGTTCCTAATCTGTGATTAAAAACAAACTGCTCGGTGCAGGAAAATATTTTAGAAGCTGCGGTGTAAAAATTAATTGCACCCTGGTATTTACTTCCCATCCAGCTTGTAAATCCTATTTTCCTGTTTACTTCTATTAAACTTTACAGAGGGTGCTATTGGATCTGCTATTCTAGGCCAGCTGGTGAGCACAGGAAAAGGACCTTCTACCTTCTTCGAAAACAAGGTTCGTCCAAAGTGCAAAATCAGGGATGGGGGGGGGTGGTCAATGCATTTGTAAAACTTGACTGTTCAGGAAAGGAGGCCGGGGGGGGGGGGTTAAGAGTCCCCGGTAGCGCTGGGAGAGCTGCTTCACACTTCAAAACCACATCAGTCTATAAGCCATGCACCCTAACCAAGTGTGATGTGTTTAAAGAAGGAATGTCAAGCCATTCTGCCTAGTTTTGGCTCAACAGCAGGGCCAGAAGGGCCTATTGGCCCCCTGCATGCTTGGATCAGGAGTAGGCCAGGAGGGGTACCCCTGGACTCGCCCTTCAAAGAGGCCCTTTGTGCTGCACAAGGCAGGGGAGGCCTGATGGCAGCCATCGCCTTTCTGGGTGTGAGCCTCAATTCAGTTCTAGGGCAGGCAGCCATTGGCACAAGGCCTGGGAGGTAAACTCCCCGCTTCCTTCTCCGAGGTGACTGGAAGGCTCAGTGGTCACAAACTCGGATGCTAAGTCCAGCACACCTGGGTCAAACTCCCCACTCTTGAAATATATTATTTCTCTATGGGACTCAGTTTCCCTCTTTTTACTCTACCCTAGAAAAGCAAAGCTCAAGCCCTTTGCTTAGTGCCCGGTTCATCTGAAAAAAAATCATAGATGGTAGAAGCTACTGTTCATTCCATGGGGAGCCCCAATCCTCGCTCCGGCAATGGACATGCAGGTAGTCATCCTCTCTAATTTGTTCAGATTCCATCAGCAGGGGCCTGGCTGTATTATGGTCCATCCCTCTAACGAAACTGGGAGACTAGGAAGAGCAATGCTATGGGAATGCATCGCCATGGAAACACGACAGCCCATCGAGTCACAGCTCCGCACAAAGCTGCAAAGCCAACTGAGACAGCAATGAGTTCCCGCTCCCTCCAGCTCCATCCCCACGGTAGCCCCTACAAAGGGCCATGGGTGGCAGGGGCAGCACTGGGGTGGAGCACTACAAGCACCTGAGTACCTGGGTAGTCGGGAAGAAGGATGGACCATCCCTGCCCTCGCAGCTCTGAAAAGAGGCAGTACTGTGTACACACTGAGAGCAGAGGGAAGGGCAGTGGAGGGGAGAGTCTTAAGGACGCCTCTGCCTGGGGATGGGTGGGGCAGAGCACGAACACCCTGGCTGCCCACTCACAAGGGACCGGTTAAATAAACTACAGTGTAGCTGTGTGACAGAATACTGTGTGGCCTTTAAAATGGTTTCAATGAAGCAGTCAGAACATGAAGTGGGGAATGGTATGCACATTGGCAGCCATGCACGGGGTACATGGAAGGCAACGGAACAAAGAGCTGGAAAGACCCTGAGCTCTGAAAGCCATGCTGAATGCAGACTTTATTCTACAACATGATGGCTCCCAGAGGAGCTGTCGCTGGAACTGGTCTCTGGGATCTGTGGGAAGAGTCTTTCTGCCCTTTACACGCCCCAGTACAGTCCCTTGAACAGCGTGCGAGCTCAGCACACACTTCTGGAATTAGGCTAAGTCACAGCAGCTTCTGTGAGTTCGGGTACATTCTCAGACCCGGAGAGGCTAAGCCAGACCACCAGAGCCGGCCCAATCTGAAACTGTCTGGGGATTTTTTTTTCTTTTTTTTTCTTTTTTTTGGTTTTTCAGGACAGGTTTTTTTCTGTGTTGGCTGTCCTGGAACTCACTCTGTGGACCAGGTTAGCGTTGAACTCACAGGGATCGCCTGCCTCTGCCTCCCAAGTGCTGGGATTAAAGGGGTGTGCCACTAACGTGGTTCTGCCTGAGATTCCTTTGCCCAGTGGCATAGGTTTAACCAACCCCATCAGAGTATGCTGGTGTCCATCCAATGACCTAGAACAGTGTAAGAAGACTCTTTCCAGAGAGAAAGGGAATGTACTGGGGGGTCCCAGAAAGGTGGATGACAAGACATGAGCCTGGCAATGCCCTCTTCGAGCTACCTCTTGAGCACAGGACCTCCTTAGCCTGGTTGGTTTCTCTATAACCAATGAAGAACTATTTATGTCTACTGAGCACTACTGTGGTCTGTCTCTAAGGGGTCACCTGTTAAGATGGTGTTATTGTGGCCATGTTAAGGGGGGTGTAGGGCACAGTAAGAGATCATCGATCAGGTCTTGCAGGGGCATTGCTCTTTAGTAGGTGTCGTGGGACTAGGTGAATTTTCTTTAAAAATCAAAAACAACTTATAAAATCACATGTCTGGCCAGGCAGTGGTGGCATACACATTTAATTCCAGCACTCAGAATCTCTGTGAATTCGAGGCCAGCCTGGTCCACACGCCTGGCCACACCAGTCACTCGTCTCACCATTTGTCCTCTCCCGATATATAGTGTGACACCATCTGCCAGGAGTCCTTCAAAGCTGAGCCAATTCTCCAGCCACAGTGTGAACCTTCCCTCTTAAGGTCTGTCCTTCATGAAGTCACCCAGCTTCAGCTCTTTAATCATGGCAGCAGAAGATGAACTAACAAGTTAGGCATAACAAGTCATGCCTGTAATCATGCCTGTAATCCCAGCACTAGGGAGGTGGAGGCAGAAGGACCAAGAGTTCAAGACGAGCTTCAGTTAAATCAGATTTTGCCTCAAACCACCACCATCCCAAAATAAAATAAAACAGACTAGCATCTACTAATCACCTACTATGCTAGTGGAAGCTGTTTTATACATACGAGCTGTGATAGGCTCATCTACCCCCATTCCACAGGTATAGGAAGCAGTTCACCAGCACCTAGGCTGAAAGTTGGGGTCTGATCCCTGGTGGACCAGCTCCCAGGCTTGCATCTCCCTAAGACTGCCCACCTGCCTATCTCACCTGTGCCCTTCAGAGACCCACTCAGACAACTAACACATGGCCCAGCAATCAATCGCATTCCTCTGCATCTACCTGGAAAAGTAAAACATGTTCACCTCAAACCCTGTGCACAAATGCCTGATTCATAACAGCCAAAGCAGGAAACCAGCCAAACGTCCTTCACTGGTGAATGGTTAAACAGTGGCTCATCCGTTCTAGAGAATACCAGTCAGCAGTCAGAGGAGGAACTAGGCATGCACAAGAACTCAATGTGCCACCAGAGAATTATTCGGGGGGGGGGGGGGAGCAAACCTCCTAGGGTTTAATTGCTATATGATATCATTTGTATCGAGTTCTTAAAATGATAAAATTATAGAACTGAAGAACAGCAGTTGTCAGTAGTTTGGAAGATGGCGGTGCCAACAAAAGCAACACCAGGCACACTGTGGAAGATGGAAGTAACTTGACCTCCACTGTTCCATATCTATTTCCTGTTTCTGATGTTGGGCTTTCATCTTACGAGCTGCTGCTATGGGGGAAACAGTGAAAACCGCCCACGCTTATGTCTCATTTCTTACAGTTGAATGAATATAAAATAACATCATTTCAAACGAAAATCTTTTACAGTCCACGCACAGGACATGGTGCACATGCGGAGGTCAAAGGGGAACTTGCAGGAGTCACTCTCTCCTTCTACCATGTGGGTCCTGGGAATCTCTCGCTAGCCTCCAAACTGAAATTTTTAATTAAAAATTTTAGTGTGCATGTTAAAACACACAGATCTAAATACTTCAAGAGTGCACTGAACTAGAAAGCCCTGGCCACGGGTCTCTTTCCTGCTCTGTTCCTGCACTCCTTAAGCCACCCAGTGTCTGCGCAGGGCCACCCCTGACTGTCACTCCAGGGTGAACATGGGGACACAGTGCCTTCCGGCTCCTACCCCAAGAGACCCACTCAGTGACTCACCTTCCCCAGGATTTACACCAGAACAAAAGCCCACATCTGACTTTCCACTGTCCCCTGACCTCACATCACAGTGTCGATGAAATGGCAGAAACTCCTTGCCGACCCCCAAACCCTCACCCTGATGGTACATTTACATAAGAACATACTACATGCCTAAAACCCCAGCCTTTGAGATATAAAGACAAGGAGCTTGAAATTAACTTCAGCGACAGTCTTTCCCCAGGGAATAAACCACCTAGACTTCCCAGTGCTGTGGCCAGCAAGACCTCAAGGTGAGAGACCCAGGGCTACAACCTGGGCACCACAGCCGCCAACTCATCTCCCTGAGCATCAACCCAGGCAGGTGTCTCAGCTAATCTCCTTACATTCTTATGAAGGGAACATTGCTGTGTAGCGCTGTTTTCCATAAGGGCAGATCAAGGCTAGAAGAACATAAATCCAACCATCTGCCAGCACCACACAGCTAACAGGACAAGGCTGGCATTCAAACCCAGGCCTGTTGCTTGGGTATTTCCCTCCCTTGCGTACGCGTATTTTCTCCTCTACCTCTCTTTTGATACAGGGTCTTATGCAATAGTCCATGATGGCCTGGAACTCATTTCATAGCCTAGGCTGGCCTCGAACTGATGGCAACCCTCCTACCCCCGTCTCTCCAATGCTGGAACCAGAGGTGTGCACTACCAGAGCTAGCATGGGCCTCTTCTGATACCACAGGGACAGCTTTGCTCTTTCACACAGTCCTTCCTAACAGGAAACTGTCTTGCTTTTGTTCTGCATACTTCAGTGAGGTTCACGGGTTTGCACCCTTGAATGCAGCCATGTGATTGCACTTGCAGGCCAGGCATTTGACTTAGAAGGATAAAAAGCGCACAGGGCACGTCCCAGGCAGAAGTGCATGCTAAATGAATTAACACACACAGAGTTCTGCAAACTTCACAGTTCCCTGTGCATCTTAGAAAGACGGCAGGAGTTTACTGAAGGAAGAAGATGTCCGTCATCCACTTTGAAAGGCCACCCCTTAAAAAGAAACTAACCACACTAGAAACGGCCAGGACAATTAAACTTTTCCTCCTTTTATCATCTTCATTCAGCCTATGTGGCTTGTACGGACAGCTATATCTCAGTGTCTTAAAAACAGAACTCTGAGCGAAACCTAAGTGTGGACTTGGCCACAGACACTGATTTTCCTGACAGTCCTTAGTGTCCTACTTCCCCTCTCGCTAAGCAAAGGAAGAAGGAGGGGACAGCAAGACCACAAGGTCTTTGTGCAAGTCTCATGCACATTTAAACTTGCATGACAAGTCATCTGGAGACAGGATCTAGAAACAAACTTAGAAACATCTGGAGGAGTGCACGTCTCCACAATCACGCCATCTTCTATCAGATCCCGTTCAAAACTCAGACGCGTGAGCAGAGCCAAGGCAGCTGAGTCCTGCAGGCCTGCTTCCTAGCCGTCGAGAGAAGGGCGCTGCATCCATAGGGCGCCCTTCCTTCCTGATGGTCTCACTAAGCCACCTCTATTTGAAGGAAGAGCATGAAAAGCTGCGCAGGGACTTCATCTAGAGCGTTATCTTCCAAACCAAGGTGACATTGAAAAGAAGCTGCAATTCCAGCCTGAGAAAGATCCTGGGAATGTGTAGCCTCGCCACCGTTCACATTTCAGTTAGGCCCAGACATTAAAGATGTGCTCAGAACTAAATCCCGACTTAAGCAAACCCCACAATAGAAACAGCACGGGTGTGTGTGTGTGTGTGTGTGTGTCTGTGGTGTGTGTGTGTGATGTGTGTGTGTGGTGTGTGTGGTGTGTGGTGTGTGTGTGTGTGTGTGTGTGTGTGTGTGTGTGTGTGTGTGCGCCCATCCTTCCTCTACTGCTCTCCATCTTATTTTTTGAGACAAGGTCTCTCACTGAACCTGAAACTTAGCTATTTGGCAAGCTCCAGGGATCCTCTTGTCTCTGCCTCCCCAGTGCTGGGATTATAGGTACACACTCAACCATGCTCAGCTTTTTAACTGAGTGTTGGGGATGGATCTGAATTTGGGTACTCGGGTCTTTATGCGTGCTTGTACGGAAAGCACTTTATTGGCTGCGGCATTCTACCAGTTCACAAACATATATTTTCAAAACTATGTTCCAAATTCTTCTTCATGTCTAGCTGCAGAAATGGACTGACACAGAGTCTGCCTTTCAACCCAGAAGGAATAAAATATTAGCCAGAGGAGTCATGCTAAGTACTGTACTGACTGTAAACCCAACATCTCTACAGAAAGGAGGTGTAGTCATGCCATTTCCAGAGTAGGAAAGAGGTCCAGGTCCAAGGTTATCCAGTCATGACACAAAATACACAGCCTCAACTTACATCTGCTAAATTCCAAAGGCTAACAAATCTACAAGCCCCTGGGCTAAGGGAGCAAAGTGCGTGCCTTGTA